TCAAGAAGCCACATCAGATCACAAAAGGAAGCAGTTGTGGAGTAAAAACTTTATAGTGTTCTCTTTTGTTGGACAACAGTTTTAGAAGTGCTTCTCATTGCAAGTCATTACAAGGGAATGTTTAGCTTTAGGCATTTTAATTTAAGCATGTTTAGCTTAGGTAGCTAATGGTAGACTACCTGCTGCAGTCAGAGCAAGTGTAATTGTTGCTGCATTCATGCGCTCCTCGGATGCTCTCATTTCCCGAGTTGTGCTTTCAAGTCGGAATGTGAAAACATCGCTCAAGCATTTAAGTGGCACCGAAATCTGTGTTCTGATTCGGTTCTAGTATATACCGGTTTTGGTTTCGGTACCCAACCCTAAAATATGGCTGCCCACTGCTCCAGGAGTGTGTTTACTGTGTGTGTGTGTGTGTGTGTGTGTGTGTGTGTGTATATATACTGTACATATCTATACACACAGTACACACTATGGGTCACCATACTTGGCCACATATCACTTCACTTTCACTAAAATTTGCAGCACTTTATGACTGCTTTTCTTAAAGACTGATTCTGTAGATTCGGATAGATTGCATAAATTCCAAATGAAGTTACTGGATTTTGATCATTGAAATTTACAGCATTTTATAACTGCTTGTTTAAACAGCAAGCTAGTTGTGGCCAGATTGTAAACTGCCTTTGTTTATTATTTTGTAATGTTCTCTGAGGTCCACTTATAATGTTATCAAGATTTTTACATCAAAATACATCATAATTTAGAAGTAATAGGCTATTTTCTGTCCTGTTTTGACCCCCTCATCGGAATGCTCTGTTTGAATAGGTGTGGCGGATTGTAGAAGTAAAGCGCACTGCTATGATTGGCTAACAGTTGTGTATGTTTGACAACCTACATCCTTCATAGATGTACACTGCTGTGATTTAGTTTAAAATCGCGTAAATACTCAGTACATATCAAACGATCTGTTATAACAGACAAAGCAGTGACCATGCAATAAAAACAGTTACTCACACTTGTGTGGTGCGACATTACTATTGGATCCAATTTAGTCAGCACAGCATCATCTTTTAATCTTTCTGAAAATCCTGTGTCGAATTGTGCCTTTTTTGTAAATAAATCTGCAGTAAAATTAAGTGAACAAAGGACCAAATTCTTAATGACACGGGCAGTTTTTAATTATAAAGTTCATCCACGTTTTCCTAATGTTGGGATCAGAAGGAAGGCAATGCATAGACTGTGTTTTTCCACAACTTGCATAGACCTGTGTTTGCCTCTCTCCTTATTTACACTACATGCAGGAATCGGAGGGCGGGGCTAAACAGGCAGTTATGTAGAAGCAGGCGTTGATCTTCTTCTGCGGAGGCGGGGTTTAGCCACACTATTACGTCATAAAGTGGCACATTCCACAACCTGTCGTTTTGGCAGAATAGGCTTCAATATAAGCTGTTTTTAGGCCCTGTTTACACTAGTGCAGGGGTGTCCAAACTCGGTCCTGGAGGGTCGGTGTCCTGAAGAGTTTAGCTCCAACCCCAATTAAACACACCTGAACCAGCTAATCAAGCTCTTAATAGGCATACTAGAAACTTAAAGGCAGGTGTGTTGAGGCAAGTTGGAGCTAAACTCTGCAGGACACCGGCCCTCTAGGATCGAGTTTGGGCACCCCTGCACTAGTATGTTTTCGTTTTAAAATGGCATTTTAAAATGAAAGCAATCCTCATCTACACTTGCATTTTCACTGTGTTTCAGAAACGTTCTCCATCCACACTGCACAACTGAAAACGCATGTCACGTGACCATTCATGCAGGTACAACAATGTGCATGATGTTATTGTTTAGACGGTCGTCAAGGATACGCAGAGCGAATGTGGGCAGCCACACCATCGTTTTCAAAAGTCTCCGTTTTGGCCCGTTTACACTGAAACGCAACCCCAGAGTTTTCAAACTAAAACGGGGTCTGCAGCGTTTTCGAAAATCTTCGTTTTCAAGGGTTAAAAAACGGCGGGGCAGTGTAAACGACAGGCGTAACTGAAGCAAAAGTTATGCATTTTAAAATGAAAACACACTAGTGTAAACGTAGCCTTAGACTAACGAGAACGTTTTGAGTTCTGAAACTCACAGGATGTTTTTTTAGTACAATGACCTCTTATCTGTCAAAAGATCAAGGGAATTTTTGATTTCTCAGTTCATAAGCCCTTAATGTGTTTTATTCTTTACACCTTAACCACCTTAATACACCTTAATCTGTGTTTCAAATTGTGCAAATAGACAGCTTGTTCCAGTCTGGATATTCTCGATAGTGCATCTCAAAATTGGGAAGATTACAATTCAGATCATGGATCATGATTTTTTTGTTATAAGATTGTGATATGATATTTTGGGAAGTTCGCCCACACCTAGTGTGAGATATGCACCGAAGTTTAATGATTAGGGGTCGGTATGAGCACATACCAAAAATAAAAACTTCAAATACAAATTTGTGCATCTCAGGTTTGGCGTGGCTTGCCAGTACTGCAGTGTGCACTAGACCGTAAATGAATTATTTCAGGTGCAAAAGTGAGAGAGAGACACAAAGCACTCAGCACAGAAGGATGAAAGAGCACACAGAACTTTGTAGCTGCGCTGTGGTGAACCATTAGGTGCAATAAATTAATCGTTCAGTTTTAAGAGGCTCTCGGCGTGCTTCTTCATTTTCAGTTTCTACACACACACAGAGGCTCACGTTCTCTCAGTCTTAAGCTCATCATGCGAGGTGGGAGGTACTGTATGTAACCCAGTTTTCACTCTTCCCTCTCTCTCAGTCTAGCTAATCCCAAATTAAAGGAGAGATTAGGATTACACATTTGCCCTCTCACTAGCAAATGCCCCGACTCCTCTGGAAAAGTTGTTGTTGTTTATTTGTGAGTTGATGGATTTTTCTCACCTTTTGACAACCAATTCCTCTACATCTCTTTCTCTTGCTATAGGACACAAAGTTATGGATCATCATGGAGTATTTAGGTGGTGGATCTGCCCTGGATTTGGTACGATGCAAGACTTTCATTCTTGATAAACCTTACAGAGATTAATGCTTTATGTAATTTTTTTTATCATTTTGTGATGTTTAAAACATCTTACGTAGAATTTTATTCTTAAGTATGTGGTTTCATAAGTGTAAAACATACATCCACGTTTGAACCTAATTTCACAAACTTTTGTTTTATACAATATCAGGGCTCGCAAAATTTCAAAATCCCTGGTAGCCCTTCGGGCAGGTACTCTTCAGATTTTGGTAGCCCGAAAATTTATTTAACTAGCCCAAATAAAAAAAAAACCTTAAAAAAAAAAAAAAAAATATTGAAAATCATATAGGAGTTTAAATGTCAATCAAAAATATTTTTAATAAACAAATATCAACAGATATGAAGAAATTTTATTTTACTATTTATAGGGTATCTGCAGAATTTTTTTAAATAAATGTAAGGCAATTTATGACCCATTTTAAGAGCTGCACAAGTAAAATGAACAGTATGAGTGGGGGGTTGGACAATGTCTGTGGTAACATACAGTACTGAGCCATAAAATTACATGATTTACAGTTCAGATTTAACTTCTTTCTCATTTACAACTGTGTTTTCTGCGTTAAAAACGTGTTGATATTTGAATTGATCTGACCATAAACACAAAGAAAGGCTTATTGGAAATGCAAATTCATTCTCTGCCACGAGGTAGCGCGTAAAATTCGCTGAA